TTAGAGAGAAAGAAATAATTACATTTCTACACCAGTTCTTCTGCTTGGTCTATCCAGATGACTCCAGACATATTCAAACTTATTCTTAATAATTCCTTTATTAAGTATTAGACCAACAATAATGTTATCGTATTATTATTATTTTATTTAGAGATAAGGTCTCACTATATTGCCCAGGCTGGTCTCAAACCCCTGAACTTAAGTGATCCTCCTGCTTCGGCCTTCTGAGTAGCTGGTACTATAGGCACAAGCCACAGTTCCCAGATATAATCACTTTAGAAATAGATAAAATGCAGTATATTTATACAACAGAATGTTATAATAGCAGGATGAACTAATGTACGTAACAACATAATAAATCTTGCAGAAATTTTGTTGAGTGAAAGAAGCCAGACACAAAAGAGTGCATACTGTAAGATTCCATTTATATGAAGGTCAGGAGCTGTCATATCTGTCCTATGATATTAGAAGTCGGGATAGATATTACTGGGCTGGGCATGGTGGCTCACGTCTGCAATCCCGGCACTTTGGGAGGCCTAGGCTGGTGGATCACCTGAAGTCAAGAGTTCGAGACCAGCCTGGCCAACATGGTGAAACCCTGTATCTACTAAAAATATAAAAATTATCTGGGCATGGTGGTGTGCACCTGTAATCCCAGCTCTTGGGAGGCTCAGGCATGAGAATCACTTGAACCCAAGAGGCAGAGGTTACAGTGATCTGAGATTGTGCCACTGTATTCCAGCCTGGGTGACGGAGCAAGATTTTGTCTTAAAAAAATAAAGAAGTGACCACCGGTGGGAGGTGGGTTTAGGAAAGATGTGCTTCTGGATGCGAGTAATATTCTGTCTTTTGACCTGAGTGCTGGTTACCTGGGTGTTTATTTTGTGAAAGGGAACATTTTGTGAAAGTTCATTTATTAATTATGCACTTTTATGTATGTTCATTATACTTTAATGAAAAGTTAAAAAGGATACCATACAGAATTAACTAAAGGCATAATTGTTGATCATGGATGGACCTTAAAATTATATAAAACCAGAGAGATGACTTACTGCTTTCTGGCATATATATTCTCTCTCTTTAACGTGATCATTTTAGAAGTAATTAATTATGAAAGTGATAAATATTGCATTACAAAATAAAAGGAAATGTAGCTAAACTATTTCTTTAGAAATATGTCAGGCTAGACCAACCTGACAACCATAGTGAAACACCGTCTCTACTAAAAATACAAAAGTTAGCCGGGTGTGATGGCGCACGCCTGTAATCTCAGCTACTCAGCAGTCTGAGGCAGGAGAATCACTTGAACCCGGGAGGTGGAAGGTGCAGTGAGCTGAGATTGCACCACTGTACTCCAGCCTGGGCAACAGAGCGAGACCCTGTCTCAAAAAAAAAAAAAAAAAATTCAAGCCAGGTGTGGTGGCACGTGCCTGTGGTCCCAGTTACTTGGGAGGTGAAGGTGGGAGGACTGCTTGAGCCCAGGAGGTTGAGGCTGCAGTGAGCTGTGATCACGCCACTGCATTCCAACCCAGGTGACAGAGGGAGACCCTGTCTCAAAACAACAACAACAAAAATATATTTTATTTATGTTGACTTCACAGTACTTAGACTGAAGACAGTCTTTAGAAACAGTAACTGATGACATTTAAAAAATATATCTCATTATTTTTTAGTTTTGTTTTCCTTTTATTATTAAGGTCAGTGCTTTTCTATGTGCTTAATAGTCATTTGTGTTTCTTCCATGTCTGTTTTGTTGTATGTGAATGCACTTTCCCTTTTTCTATTGAGTCTTTTTTTTAAAAGTTGATTTGTTTTGGGTCAGTGGTTCTCAATTCTGGCTGTGTTTTTGAATCACCCGGGGAACTTTTAAGAATTACCAAATGTGGGTGAAGGGGAGAAGAAAAGCAAAGCACACTGCCATGTGTGTACCTACGCAACTGTCTTGCATGCTCTGCTCATGTACCCCAAAACCTATAATCCAATAAAAAATTAAAAAAAAAAAAAAAAAAAAAAAAAAAAAAAAGAATTACCAATGCTAACGCCCCACCCTAGGCCAAATAATTAGGACCTCTAAGGGTTGGCCCTGAGCCTTGGTATTTTTCGTGTGTGTGTGTTTGTATGTGTGTGTGTGTGTGTGTGTGTGTGTGTGTGTATAAATTCTGTTATGGAAATTTTTATGTGTTCCAATATATATAGCAAGTATTTTTTAACCTATAGATTTCTCCTTCATCATTCCCCCCATTAAATGATTAGCCTTGTCCAGTAATGGTAATCCTTACTTTCCTATGATTCATTTTTTCAAACAGTTTTTATCAAGAAATAAAAGACAGCTACAAAAAAATACTCAAAACAAAGTACAGTTGAACGAGTTGTTATAAAGCAAATACCCATGTCAGTGCCTTGGAGGCTGGGAACAGAATGCTGTTGGCCTCCAGAGCCACTGTGTGCCTTCTGTGCTACAGCCTCTTGAATGTGCTTAATAGCTTGATGTTTATGGAAATCTCTTCGAAGATTAATTTTTACTTTGTTTCTTTTGTGGAATTTTATGCATATTCTTGCATCATCAAGTCTGTGTCTACCAAACATGTTTTGAGCTAGTTTCTCTTAAGAAACGTCATTAGTTGCACAGCAGGGCGCACTGTCCTGTCCTTGAGCACTTCTTCTTCATTCTTGCCTTGCCGATCATCAGGCACTCTTTTTTTTTTTTGAGATGGACTCTGGCTCTGTCGCCCAGGCTGGAGGGCAGTGGCGCGATCTTGGTACACTGCAACCTCCGCCTCCCAAGTTCGAGCGATTCTTCTGTTTCAGCCTCCCAAGTAGCCAGGACAACAGGCCTGTGCCACTATGCCCAGCTAAATTTTTTTGTATTTTTAGTAGACGTAGGGTTTCACTATGTTGGCTAGGTGGGTTTCCAACGTCTGACTTCATGATTTGCCTGCCTCAGCCTTCTAAAGTGCTGGGCTTACAGGTGTGAGCCACCACGCCTGGGCCGTCAGGCATTCTTAATCTCACTCTGGACTTCAGCAATAGTTCCTTTTGTTGCTTCATCTTTGTGAAAGTAAAGTTGCTTCACTTTACTTCAGGTTAGAAGCTGTATCCATCAGAATTCTTAGTTATAAGTAATAGATGCCATCTCTGGCCAATTAATTAAAAGAGTGATCCATAGATTCTCTAAGAAGGTTGGGAATGTAGGCCTGAAAACCACTGCCAGGAACAGTGCAAAATCATTCCACAGAACTCTCATGAAGACACCTCTCTGGCCACAGACCTTGCTGCTTGTGCTCCAAACACCACTGATGCTGGGCTCTGGGTGCTGCCCCAACAATCACTCTCTCTGCTGCCCCAGGACACTGGATGTAGCTGTTCCTGCTGCTGCCATCCCCCCAGGTGGATTCTTCTGGAGTTTCTGCTTCTCCAAGTTAATCATTTCTCCCTTGAAATCTAGCATAGTGCATCTTATTTGGGGAGCTGTGTTCTATGCCCCTATCCTAGTTTCAAAGAAAGATGAGAAAGCAAATATATGGGTTTTTTTCCTTCTTTGTTCGTACTTTAGTAGTAGAAAGTGTACTTATCTCATAAGGTAGGGTGTGCTTAAATGTGGACTCAGCATTCAAGTGCTTGGTGTAAAGAAAGTCCACTCTAAAAGCTCCCTATCAGTCTTAGAAACCCATTCCGTGTAACCCAGTGATGTATCTTATACCACTAGCTTTTCTTATATAACGCAGTAGTTATTTGATGCAGGAATATGCCTTATTTCCAGTTGCCATATTGCTTTGTACATGGAGCTATAGCTATATTTCTGAAGAACTATGTATTTTTAAAAAACCCATTCTAATTTTAGCTAGTTGCAGGCATTTCTATTTTGTTTTATGAATAAACTCAAGGAGATGTAATAGTTAAAAACTCAACCGTAACAAATGTTGATATTTCCTGGTGGTGTTTTTACTAATAATTTTCTAGCTTATGGGCTATTTACCTTTTTTTCAGGTTTGATCTTTCTGTATATAAAGACAATGTGGGAAATGGAAAACACCATATTAGAACCATTAGTGGATATAAATAGGATGATACATGCTTTTCCGAAACAAAAATGGTATAGCTTTTGTTATTGCAAAAGTATCTTACTCTTAAGTTACTATGAAACATGAACACAGCTTTCACAAATTAACACAAAAGCACATTCTTGGCTTACATACGATAACTTTAACAACCAACTAGTGAAGTTTTTATCTGCTGTGAAACCAGGGCATAGATGAATGAATGAAGAAGCCGTGGACACTGGGTCAGGGGGCCTTCGTGATCTTGTCTTGGTTCTTCTGGTGGTGTGCAGCATTACTTTAGGTGATTCATTTATGTTCTTCTACATTTTATCTTTCCAATTCTAAAGAAAAATTAATATTACGATCCCTTCCTCTTCACTTTTCTTACAATGGTATATTAGAAGATCTGAGACAGGTGTGATTGAGCTTCTTAGAATAAACACTTACATGGTAACATAAAGGTTATTACAGTAAAAACAAAGATGAATGTACTATAAAGTCTTCATAGCAGGATGCGCCCTGTTGTTTACTACGTAGCAAGACACTTTTGTAATATCCTGATGTAAGGTAATGTTTCTGAATTATATTCAAACCAGGTGGCCCCTCAGTTTTGAATACTTAACAACTGCAGCTGTGAATTTAATGGGGTTAGTTAATAGGAAATTCACTTCAGGTTCATTCATTTGACCTCTGCTACATAGCCAATAGAAATTACATACAGTGTTTCTAAAACTTATTTCCAGAAAATTCAGGCTAGCTTTAGCATTCTTCAGCTAGCATAGGTGAAGTCTTACTTCTACAAATGAAGACAACAACAAAAAAATCCAGGGTTTCTAAATGTGGTAAAATTGTAACAGATAAGGTCAGGAATCACTTACTGGTTGCTCAATATTTAGTGATATATTTGACTCCTTTTGTGGTTTCAGATAGCAATTATTTCTAATATAATTTATTTTGCAGTGAGGGCCGAGGCAAGTTGACGGTATTTTCAGTTAAAGCTATGTTAGCAACCATGTGTGGTGGAAAAATGCTGGACAAATTGAGATGTAAGTATTTTCATATTATTTGAAAAATGTCATTTTCAAATGAGGACTTTTAAATGAATATTGTCAGAATTTTGAATGATGCTATGTTGAGCTTTTAAAAAAAAATACCAAATTACTCACTCTGTAGCAACTCACAGTAGGTGAGTTATGCCACCTACTGTTCAGATGGAAAAGTTGGTTGCTTTAATATATTGTTAGTGTTTTTTAGTGAGAAAACTGAAAAGTCTCAGAATCCTAGTGCTGACATTTAAAAAAGTATTTTAGAAATGTTTTCCACATTATCAAAATTACACTTGAAGATGATTATATTGAGAACTTTTAGTTAAAATATGGTGACTTTTACTAGGTTTGGTTAGGTTTAGCTCTTAATAACTCCATTTTTCATCAGGTGATGTTTGCTGTGATTACATTATTTGTTACTACCTTAGAGTCAGGTGCAGTTATTTAGAAGCTGATGACCTGTTTTGTTTTTTTTTAAGTTACTGTGTTATCTTTGCTAATTTTTAAATTTTTTTTTTTTTTTTAACTATTAGTCATTTTGGCATTTTACCATTCATTAGATACTATAAGAAGGTGATTAGGGGCTGGGCGTGGTGGCTCACACCTGTAATCCCAGCACTTTGGGAGGCTAAGACGAGTGGATCACGAGGTCAAGAAATCGAGACCATCCTGGTCAACATGGTGAAACCCTGTCTCTACTAAAAATACAAAAAAATTAGCTGGGCATGGTGGCACATGCCTGTAATCCCCTCTACTCAGGAGGCTGAGGCAGGAGAATTGCCTGAACCCAGGAGGCGGAGGTTGTGGTGAGCCGAGATCGCGCCATTGCACTCCAGCCTGGGTAACAAGAGCGAAACTCCGTCTCAAAATAAAAAAAAAAAGAAGGTGATTAGATGAAATGAAAATAGGTGAAATTCATGATTTAATTTTGCTGCTTATGGTTTTTATTCAGTCATGAGTTATTAACTCCCTAAGATATGCCAAGAATTGTGCTAGGTGCTTTACATATATTTTCTCATGGAATCCTTAAAATGCCTTTGAGTGACAGGTGATATTTTCTTTATTTTATAGATGAGTTAACCAAGGGCGCAAAGCTGGGGTTTTAACTCAGATGTCAGCACCCTGTCCTGAGCTATGTGATTATGCTCCCCTGAGCCAGTGCTGTAACAGGAGACACATGGGTAATTTCAGCACAGTGTTCAGAGTGCCATGAAACAGTAGCCACAGAGTAGGAAACTGGATGTCACCTTTCAGGGGGATGAGACTGAAGTCTTAGTAAAGTAGTGTGGTACCCTGTGAGCCTGGATTTGGAAGACTGTATCCTTGCAATGTTCCTCTGTGCCCTACTTTTTTTTTTAAATTTAAGGATACAGAGGCTTGATCAGACTCAGGTATTAATACAAGTTTTTGGGTAAGATTACTTCATAGGCGCATTTGTTTTTTGTGCTTTTTCTTACTTTACCATGACACTGAAAGTTGGAAAGCTAGATGACCCACTAGATACAGATTTAGATATTCCAAAGAAATATCTTAATATATTTCGTCAACTGTTATCCAGTTTAGCTTCATTTCAAAATCAGTTGCAATGTAGAACATTTTTGGTAATAAAAATTATGATTTTATTTGAATATTCTTCTGAGGCTCTTTACATGGTACATCTCAAAATATTCTTTGGGCTGAAATTTCTTTTATATTTTTATAAAATATGAAAATGTTTCTGAGAAAGATAATATGTATGAAATTATATTTCATTCAAACACAAAGTTATAATTTTGTCTGCTTTTCAATGATGATACTAGATAAAGAATATATATACCATCTTTATTAATATAGGGGAGACTGGTTGAAAAATACAGTAGTAGAAAAATATAGTAGCAGAAAGTTATTAACTGTGTGTTCTAGATGACTTTGGAATCTTTAAGTTTCTTTAAAGTCAACTATATTTACGCAGCCAGCCCACCTGACACATAGTAAATATTTAAAATTTTGTCAAATGTAAACTGTTGATCAAATACTGAAATTACTGCAGTTCTGTGTTGTAACTGTTAGTGAAAAGGCACAAATTCTAGTTCTATGTATGGAAGGTATCCAGGTGATAGCAGTTTTTTTGATGTGGCTTCTGAACTTTTTGGAGGAACACAACATGACCAAGACTGAAGTGGCGCAAAAGCCACTGAAGTGGGCCAAGCCAAAGGTGACATGTCAGTGTGCTCAGGGCTCTAGGTCATTGCAATAGTGTTCGGATAGGTGTGATACAGACTGTGCTGGGTTACCCATCACCATGTTTATCTGATTCAAGTAAATTTCAAGTGTAGTTTCTTTTCCATGCTAAAAATTAGAGTTTCTCTGCCAGCTGTAGGTCTGTTTCGTTATTTTTTATTGTACTGTAATTATCTTGATTTGGGATTGAGATGTACGACATAAGTAAAATATTTGGGTACGGAAGCCTATCTCTACTTTTTAATCCTCCAGGGTAGAAACCACTTTAAAATGTGGCCTGGCCCTTCCGTTTTAAACAGAACTTGGCTGGGTGCGGTGGCTTATTCCTGTAATTCTAGCACTTTGGGAGGCTGAGACAGAGGATCACTTGAGGCCAGGAGTTTGAGACCAGCCTGGGCAACATAGCAAGACCGTGTATCTATAAAAGTAATTTTAAGGCCAGGCACAGTGGCACACGCCTGTAATCCCAACACTTTGGGAGGCTGAGGCAGGCGGATTACCTGAGGTCAGGAGTTCGAGACCAGCCTGGCTAACAGAGTGAAACTGTCTCTACTAAAAGTACAAAAATTAGCCGGGCGTGGTGGCACATGCCTATAATCCCAGCCACTTGGGAGGCTGAGGCAAGAGAATTCCTTGAGCCCTGGAGATGGAGATTGCAGTGAGCTGAGATCATGCTACTACATACCAGCCTGGGCGACAGAGTGAGACTCTGTCTCAATAAATACATGAATGTAATTTTAAAAAGTTAGTTTGGCATGGCAGTACATACCTGAGGTCCTAGCCACTCGGGAAGCTGAGGCCTCCAGGAGGATTGCTTGAGCCTAGGAGGAGTTCGACGCTGTAGTGAGCTATGATTGTGCCACTGCACTGCAGCCTGGGTGATGGAGTGAGACTCAGTCTCAATCAATCAATCAGAACTCACTGATTATACTTACAACATTTTCATCTCTTAGGGATGCCGTTTTCTGATGCATTTAGGATTTAGGGCTAATTGTAAAGCTTGGGTTTTCTATTCCTCCTCCTCCTATTTTGAGACTACTGTGCTTTTTCAGTTCTTGAGTTTTTTGTTGGTAGTGGTAGTGGTGGCAGCGGCGGTGGTTTATGTATGTCCTTTATCACTGGCAAATATGATGGTATGTATTTTCAGTGTTCCACTCTCTAGAAATCTCTCCTTGCTTCTGACTTACAACTTTTCATATGCTGTGGACAAAGAAATCATAACCAAACCTCTTAGCATTCTATTTAAAATAAGGATATAAGTGATTGTTAGGAGAGAAGCACTTGAGCTTGTGTAGTATGATTGGTAGTTTGGTCTATTTTCAGAACCTTTCCCCGCTTGCTTTCTAGTTCTCAGCAATGTCCTCCTTAGTTGAGGTGGCTGAACAGTAGTGCAGCCAAAAGGGAGGAATAACGCTGTATTGTAACAGCAAAGGATCTTTGTTTATTCACTTTCTCCTACCTAATTATTTCATCGTTTTGGTTCTTGTTTGCTCCAACCTTCTTCTACTGACTGGACTCGCTATTGTTACCATTATTAATGTTCCTGTTGCATTAAGTTTTCTGATTTATGGAATGTTTTAGCATTTCTACATTTTTTTCTTTTTGCTTTGATCTTCCCTTTTTACTTTCTTAGATTTTTTTCCTATGATTTTCTCCCCTCTACCTTTTTTATTTGACCTGGGGTTTTTGGTTTGTTATAGTGTCAAGATACATTTGAATGACTGAACAAATATTTGTACTTCTAGTTTAAAACATTTCTTTGCTTTTTTAGATTTGTCTTAAGCGAGTTTCTGTCTCCAGGTAGCATTCATTTACAGAGATGATTCACTGTTGCGGCCATTAGGGACTATGTCCTAGATTGAGAGGTACCTTATATCAGGATTCTAAATACCAACGATTTATAATTGGAATAAGGACTTTATTTGAAAGCATGATCAAAATTCAGTAATGTCAGAAACCCAAAATATAACTCAAGAAAACAAAATTTGTAGACTGTAAAGCCCATTATGTGCTAACACGGGCTTAATTATCAATTAATTTTTACTATGTATTTACTTTAATTCTGCTATTTGTTTTCGAATAAGCTTAGTCTTCTTATTCAAATTGCATCTGGTTACACTAAAAGGAGCAAAAGATTCATCAGTTTATTTTAAAATTCATTAAAAAGCTGGTGCTACCATTTTGAAAGGCTGTTTCACAGTATGTATCAGGAAGGCTTTAAAAAGATTCATATTCATTCAGTCTACTTCTTGAGTTTATCCTAAGGAATTAATCAGAAGTATACCCCAAGTTTTTTGTATATTTGTTGCAACACTTACATGAAAACTTGAAACAGCGTTAGTGTCCAAAAGTGAGAACTCAGTTAAGTTTTGGGACACCCACGTGATTGAATATAATGCCTTCAAAAATAGGGTTTAAATCAAAATGCATAAGTGTAATATGGTTTTAAACAAAAATTTACTATGCACAGAGAAAATAAGAAAAATGCCAAAATGATAGCAGGGATTTTTCTCTGGGTTCTAATACAATGGTTTTATAATAATTTATATTTTTGCGTGTTTTTGATCGGCCACAACTATCAGCAGTCAGAGAAAAGATGACCTGAGGTTCTTCCTGTTTTGCTCAGAATTGACTGTTCCTACAGATGTTTCAACTGTTTGCTTCCTTGATGTTTCATTAGCAGACTGTAGAAGGACCTCCCTTTGAAGTTATAGTTGAAGTTTCACCTGTTCAAACTTAGACTCCTCTGCTGTAGTTTTTTAACCACCCATGGCTACGTA